CTGCCATCCAGCCAGTTCCTAATCCACCTCACTGTGCACTCATCTATCCCACACTTCCAGAGCTTGCCTAGCAGGATGTTGTGAGGGACGGTGTCAGAAGCCTTGGTGAAGTCGAGAAAGGCAACATCCACCGCTCTCCCCTCATCTATCCAGCCGGTCATTCCATCATAGAAGGCTATCAGGTTAGTCAAGCAAGATTTCCCCTTGGTGAATCCATGCTGACTACTCCTGAGCACCTTCTTGTCCTCCACATGCCTGGAGACAACAGCCAGTATGAACCGTTCCATCACTTTTCTGGGGACAGAGGTGAGGCTCACTGGCCTGTAGTTGCCTGGGTCCTCCTTCTTGCCTTTTTTGAAGACTGGCGTGACAATATCCTCAGTACCGGTCAAGCCTTTACTTATTTCCATCGTGGCAGCTTTCTAAATTAAATGTGCTTTTTTGCAGGTATTAAATGGTTTGGAGGAGATGAGCCACAACAGTGGCTCTGCAGCCTGTAGATGCTGTCTGTCTACCACTTCTGACTTCCCTTCCTCCTGTTTTTCTGTTTGAATCCTATTCTGTTTTCAAGTTCATGTGTCTAGATCCCAAAGCTGTTTTTGTGGCCTCTGCAGATGTTTTAAGACTGTGCTGTTTACTGTGTTTTCAAGTTTGTATCGTGTGTAGTAATACTTGAATATCTCCATTCATGGTTTGAAGGTAGCATTTCCTATCTCTTTTCATGCATCTTTTTTTTTTTTCCTTTTTTTTTTTTCCCCCTCTCTTTTTCAGTTTACCACAGCTGGTCTCAATACGTGGGGCCACTTGTACTGTGCCCTCATGGCATTTAATTTTCAATAGAGCTGTTGAAATTGAATCTCCATCAGGAAAATGCTGATGATTCCAAGTTCCCTTTCACAAGGTTTGGGAAACTTCTGCACTCGTTCTGCAGTTTCATGAAATACAGTTTCCAAGGTGCAAAATAGCTACTGCAGGGAGCTGTCACCATTCTGATTGCCCTGGGGATTTTTATCCCATATGCTACTCCTCCTTGGAATTATCTACCTTTGGTAAAGGGTGAGACAAAACTGATTTTCTTCTCTAAAGCTTCTGTTAAAGCAGGAAATGTGCAAACCTCCCTTGGGCTTGATTACCTCAGCTGGTGCTCTTCTTTGCATCTTGTTTATTCTGTCCCATTATAGCTCTGAGATGTGAAGTCTATCCCTAGCTCTTCTTGACCTTATTTTTTGAAAGATTATTTCCAGAGAGATTAAACCTCCAATGTTTCACATTTTTTCACACTCTGCCTGTTTTTTCACAACCCCAACATTCTTGAGTCATTGCTAACAAAATTAGCAAAGGTTGTTAAATATCACTGGTAACTGATCTTAGCAGCCTGTGTTTTGCATTATAAATGGAAACTAAAAACTGCTTTCCTGATACTTCACCAGGCTGGCTGTCGTGTTGGGATCTGAGAGACCTCTGTCAGCTTCTCTGTATCATCCAGTGAATTAAATTTCTTTTGGAGCAGGCTTTCCATCCAAGGAGTTAAGTTCCTCGTTTTTTCTTGTCTGCAAAGGTGTTCGAGACATTTGCAGCTTTCCTCACAGAAGTGAGCACTTGTAACATGTTCACCTCTGCGCAGGACCCGTCCGAAGGTCCCCGTTTGTCAGTGGGCTCGGGTGGCAGGCAGGGCGCTTGAAGAGGAACCTGAAGGCATGTGGGGTATTGGTGGTTCCTCTAAGGAGCAGGAATCAAAATGCAGCAGCACTTCCAGGACCTGACCCTGGAAGCGCTGCTCAGCAGCGGGGCTGGCAGGGGTCTGCTCCGTCACCTGCCTGATGTGCAGCAAACGGCCACGCGGGTGCCAGTGACATGAGGGAGCTGTGCTGGGCCAGGAGCAAAGGGCAGCTTCCCTGCACACGCTGACGGGCCAGAGCCGGGAGCCTTCACAAGTGCTAAACAGCTTGTGAGCAGTTAGCAGGTTTCACGCTCACCTCGATAACTCACGCATATAACCAACACGGTAAAATGTATGCTCTCTGCACTAATATAGGGACACTGAGAAAGATAAATCAGCTTAAGAAATGGCAGCATAAAGAAATAACAAACAGTCGTGTGATGGAGCATTTCCTAAATGAAGATAGCTTGGCAAACAGCACAGTTATTTATTTTCCACAGATAAGTCTGTACCAAAGTACCTTGTCTTGACTCCTGCATCTTGCAAAGCTCACTCATTAGTGCCCGTGTCAAGGCAGGCCGGTGCTGTAGTAATTGGAACAGATTAAGTTATACATCAAAGATAAATACTTATTGTAGGTGATGAAGCTAGAAAAGGATTTCCGAGATAACCCCGTTTGGCAAAGCTTTCTCCTCCAGGAGTTCTCAACTTCTCCGCAGTCGCGCTCTCTCGTAAAGGCTTGGGACTGCACAAGCAGCCCTGGCTCGGGAGGGGAACATGGCTTGTTTTGTGTTCCTGTTAGTTTTTAAACCTGTTCAAAGTCTTTATTTCTCAGTGTTTGCGCACAAAGCAAGTGTCTCACTGCAGCCTCAGTGCAGACAGGCAGTGCGAGGCACTGGGGAAGAGCCCAATGCAGCCATGGCAGCGGAGCGTGTGGAGTGGGGTTTTCCATCTCGCAGGTGAGCACGGTGTTTTGTGGGCAACGTCCTCCCATTTTACAGAGATTTCCCATCGGAAAAGATGGATGCCAGCCTCCCTCTGGGAAGGGTAGCTCTGCTCTGGGGGACAGCGTAGGGTAAACTTTAGTTTTCCTGCAAGACTGGGCTGCCTTTAGTGAGTATGTGTAACCAAGTGTTCCCTCAATGAGGCTTTTATTTGGAAGCAATGGAAGCTTTGGGAAAATTAGCTGGATTTGTCTGTGCTGCAGAATCACTATCCCATTTTCAGTTGTAAATTTAAAATATTGAGCCAGAATCAGTGCCTGGGACGTATATGTGATGCTAGCTGCTACAGCATGCTTGGGAGATGTGATATTCCGGTTTTAGGAAGCAGGGCATATTTCACAGCCAGATCCTTGTGTGTGAGCAGCCCCTGGGCTGTTAGCTGCATGGCACTGCAACAGTCTCATGTTGACAGCTCTGCTTGAGGAGGCTTCATTTGTGCTAATAGATGCCCCCCACAAAGAACACAGCAGTTCTTTTGCCTTTTCCCCTAGAAGAGACTTTGTGCTGTGAACCACTTGCCTCTTGCTTCGCTTTGCTTTGGGGTGCAGAGGTCCTTCCCTTTCCTGACGGGCTCTCTCTCCTTGCCTCAAGAACAAGGAACTGTTTTTTGCCGTTGTTCTCTTCGTCCAGTTGCTGCTGCTTATCTGCTGTGCCTCCTCTTGCCTACATGGAGATGGGGCTGGGCCAGCAGCCATGGCCTGGGTGACCTGGCTTGCCAGATTGGCATCTGGAAACCGCACTGACATGAGGTGTGCTGGGAAGTGCAGAACATCAATGAGGAAGCCAACTATCTTAGGGAAGATAGGACCGAGCAGAGATTAATTGCCCTGTCTTCTACGTGGGCTCTGTGAGATTTAGAGCCCTGGCCTCCACCAAGGCCGGGGGAAAATCCAAAGGCTAAGCAATAGGAGCATGGTTTTTCCTGTAAAATTGTAGAGGAATAGCTCAAAGGACACGGGGGCACTGAGTCCATGGAGCCAGCAATGGCGAAGGTCTGACCTAGTCTGCAACGCCCACAAACTCCCTGGGCTTCTGCATGGCTTGGAAAATAGCTTTAGGCTACGTTAGAGTGGAACCACTTTTGGCCTGATGCTGGGATTCCTTCTTGTTCCCCTTTCTCCAGAAAGGAAAGAGCCAAAAGTTTAGGTAAGGAAAAGACATCCATCAGAGCCATCCTGGCAGCCATCTGCCAGGTGTAATGAGTTCTGGAACTTTGCTCTGGTGATCTGAGATACCTAGAGTTAGATTTTTTCTAAAGAAGTGAGTTTAATGCAATCATACTGTTTGTGATGCGTGTCTGGGCCTGATATTAGCCCTTTCCAGTGGTCTGAACATCCTAGAAATAGGAGGTACTATAAAATTTGTGGGAGGAAAAAAAAAAAAAAAAGAAGGTACTTGCCCGCTGGAAACATGAGTTTCCCTGTGTGAGAACAGCAGAGCACTCCCACTCTCTGAAACCCTATTTGCCTCCCTGGTTCCTGTGCTTATGGGACAGATGACTTCTTGGTGGTTTTTTTGTGAACTCTTGCAGTTTCTTCCAAAGGTTGAAGGAGGTTTCTTCCAAAGGTTGGAGCCTCTGCCTGCAAACTGGGAGAGGGTCACTGCCCCATGACCCAGATGGGAGCTTTTGTCCGTCTGCAGGTGCCTTCAGGGAGCCCTGATCTGGGGACTCAAACTTTTACTCGCCAGGAAAGGGAGCTGGAGTGAGAAAGCTGCTTCCTAACCCCAGCTATGGTATGGTACAGTCACACACACACACGCATACACACACACATATATATATGTTACCCTATATCTAGTCTCTAAAGATTTGGCTCAACAAACAGGCTCCAAGAAATCAACTGGCAGTTTCTAGATAGGCATCAGTAAGCTCTTCTGAGGGCCTTGTTATGTCTTTGGCCTAAGTATCTCATAGATGAGAATTTAGGTTAGCCGGTCCTAAAGTGTTAGTGCCCTCAAGTGTCTCCATGTTCTCTGAGATAAATGATAGGTAAATTGGATAGCTTGGAGTGACTCTGTGAACTGTATAATGTGGTTGTGGCTCATTTTGTTCATGGACTGATCTTCAGGATCCTCTGGTCTAGACTTCTTGTGGTTCTTTAATCAGAGGTTGATAGTAAAGTTGTTGAGGGTGCAGTACATTCAATCCTCCACTCTTGTGTTCTTCCTGGACAGATTCTCCAGGACAAGTTTTCACTAGAGATGCATTACCTGCATTTAGAAATATTTTTTAAAATCCACAGCATAGCTTATTTTACACTGCTACAAAAGCTCTTCTCCTTCTTTTTTTTTTTTTTTTTTTTTTTTTTTTTTGGGCTGGTATAGCTTATTTTACTTGATGGTTCTACTGATAAAGCCTTGCTGCTATAGAGTGTATGTGTGCTAGGCTTGCCGATATCACTAACCTGAAACTTCTCCAGGGTAGATTAGACTCAAATTACACAGCATTATGATTGTGAAGTTAATGTAATACCTTGAAGATCAAACCTCCTTGCCTTCCTCGCAGGTACAATAAGTGGCTTTCTAAGACAAATAGTTTTCATAATTCTCCTGATAGCGTCCTGAGCTGTCATCCCAGCCCAGCTAGGAGGGCACTTTCTAGCAATTTCCTCAGCTGTACCCAAAGGTCACTTTTCCCTGCTGTGCCGTGCAGTTCATTCTGCCCTATTTTCCTCATTTTTCTTTAAAGTTCTTCCTCCTTCCTTGTCTTCTGTGTTCTTGGGCTACTGCTGTTGCTTTTTTCTTTTCCTGCAGCCCTTCTTGGAGTGATCCTTGGATGAAGCTATGGTGCCACAGCTGTTTCCTCTCATGCCTGACTGTGGGGACAGAGGAGTTGCTGGTGATCCGGTGTGATATTCTGTGGGATTTCCTGCGCTCCCTAATGCCAGGTAAATTTTACTCATGCAAAACTATTTACTGTCAGCATTTTAAAAGTCTTCATTCCCACAACTTGCTTTCCTCAACCCAGGGTGCAGAGTGACTCTGAGGTCTTGGCAGGGTGTTTTTTGGTATTCCTGTACCATAACCTGGTTCCTCAGCCTGTTCCAGGGTCCTCCCCTAGCTCCTTGCCACTGTAGGAGAGGGCAATATTTTCTTTCCAGATCCCAACACCTGGTCCCTTTTGCTGCTTTCTCACTACCTCACCTCCTTTGCAAAATCTCCCATTAAAATCAGAACAGTTGGTCACTGACAGTCTTGCCTCAGTGTCCCAGCTGTGTGACTTGAGACAAATTGTGTCCAGGTTTTTGCGAGGGCAGAAAAGTTTTGGAAATAAAGGATAAATGTAGTTGCCAACTGAGCATTGTGCACAGACACCCTGAGATGAAACCATGTGGCTTCTGTGGGCTACAGTGTGGCCACAAGGACTAGTATTAAATTGGAGTCTGGAGCACGGCTAGGATTGAAGGTCTATGTGCATTTCCCACCAGCACAGGACATGACTGTTGCCTGCCTCAGCTGGGAAGTTATGACTTGAAGAGCTTGAGCACAGCTGGTCTCCATAGCAGGACCTCTACTCCTTCAGCTTTAGAAGCTCTCTGGGGTGGGAGGGGGTTGTTCTTCCCCATCACTCCCAGAGGGTGCTAGTTATGGAGAGACCAGTGGTGGTTCAGAGCACCTAGAGAGGAGGATCTGAGGTCACATCTTTGGCTTTGGTTTGTGTGAGAAGGGGATGGTTACTTGCTCCCAGGAATACTCAAGTACCTTCTCCTGATGCTGCCTCATTGCAAACCCCTCTGTAAGGGCAGCCCTGGTTTGTTAAGGAGCCGGGAAGCTCCTGGGTGCAGCGAGGGAGGGAGCTGGACGCTTGCTGTGGGCTATGGCCCAGAGAAAGGCAGAAGGTGGAGGAATGCAGGGGCCATTTCCAAATACCTCAGTCCACGAGGAACTTGGCCTGAATTTTCTTTCCCCGCCTGCCCTGCTTGTCCAAGTGCCTCCCGTGCGCTGTGCTGAGGGCCCTGGGCAGAGACGGGCCCCGGCCGTGCCTCTCGTGCCTCTCCTTTGAGTGCGCACCCAGCTGCGTCGCCACGGCCTCCCACGAGCAGCCCAGGGCTGAGAGAGGAGGCAGAGTTCTAGGGCTGAGCTCCACTGGCCTCACATGGCTCCCAGGGAGGCGTATGGGGACAGGGATGAGCTTCCGCCCTCTCCTGTGGGAGCCGGCATCTCCCAGGCGAGACGGGCGTCGTGTGTTCCCTCGCTTGAAGCAAGGCAGGGGAGCAGGAAACTACTGCAGTGCCAGGGAGGCAGCAAGGAGCTGGAGAGATTGCTGAGGGCAACGGAAGAGGACAAGCTGTCTGCGAAAGCTTCAGAGACCAGCACACGCTCTAGCTTGGGCATAGGTGCCAGGAGCGGGTGACGTGCCATCCCGCAGATGTATGGTAAGGTTGCAGCCCCTGGCTCAGGTGCAGCTATGGTTTTCTGTGTGTTGGGCAACTTTATAGCGCCTCTATTGCTTTTGAAGATAAGGGCACGTTAATATTTTATTGCCCCCTCTTTTCATCTGTGACACCATTCAGCACAAGGAGGTGAACAGCAAAGGACTCATTCCCCATGGGAGGTCCCTCATGGGAGGGAATGGAGCAAGGCCTCGGGCTTCCTGAATGGGCTCAGGACTCCCTGGCTCCAAGGATGCTGCCCTGCAAGCGGGTGGCTCCACTCTGCTTCCCACCGTGTGTCCCAGCGTGGCCTTCCTGTCCTGGTTGCAGCCCCACGCCACCATGGCTCTGCTGGGAAGCGCTGGGGTGAGAGGCGCCAGCCCTGCCCATGATGCCGGCGAGGAGGGTGATGGGTGCCGTGGCCTCCCCACGGCACGGGACCCAGCCAGTACTGCTGGGCCCCCTCACGCGGGCCGGGCTCCGCGCGGCCACCTGAGAGCTGGGTCCTGGTGAGGTTCAGCCTGCAAAGAGGGGCCGAGGCCCTGCAGGAGGGAGGAAGCTCTGGGGCAGCCTGGGATTCCCCTCGGCTCCAGTCCAGGGCTGGGCCACCTCCAACCTGTCCTCAAGGACCCTGTTTATCTCCATAACAGGAAACAGGGTGAGGGTGGGGATAACCCGTGCTGTGCACTCAGTGCCTCTCCTTGGCCTCCAGCCTCCCCTGTAGGGGAGCTTTTTGCTTTAATGATGTGTGCCCCTTGTCCTGCCGGCAGCCTCTCTCTCCTGTGGGCAATACGTGCCAGCTCTTGTAAAACAGGAACTTTAGAATGGGCGCCTTCTCCCTAATGCTTGAATTAAAGCATTAATCAAAGCAGCAGCCCCAGCACGCAGAGTTTCAGGCGCCCCTTTGTTCCGTTAGGGAAGTCTCGCGGCCGCCAGCTCCGCGCCCCCGCCAGCCCTTGGCCCAGGTGGGAGGCGAGGGCTGAGCGCTCGCATTCCTGGCACGCGGAGGTGGCATGCCTGCTGCCAAATATTTTCAAGCCTCCTCTCTGCATCATCTGCCAAAAAGAAAACATTCAATGCTGAAGGACTTGAGCGGACGCCAGGGCCCGCGGTAGAAGCCGCGCCTTGTACTGCATGGCACTGCGTCCCGCCGCTGTGGAAGGTGGGTGACCGCTCTTTGCCTCAAAATCCCTCGTAGCCTCTGCTCAGGAGCATCTCTGTTGTTGTGGGGATGGCCTCTCCCTCGCTGTGGAGGGGAGAAAGCGTGACTCACACCATTATCAGGAGCGTTAGCAGGCGAACGTTTCGCTCGTGCAAGGTTAATGATGACAGCAGTGACGCCCGCGCGAACACAGTGCGCTCCTTTCCAGTACCTAATCTAAATTGCTTTATGAGGGACCACAGTAGGGACTGAGGCGCTGCCGGGCAGGGCCGCGGGGGCAGCAGGGTCCTCGCTGACGCACTCCGGGCGCTGCTGCCTCGTGGGGTGCGTCACGGGCTGCCCCTCCACAGCGGCCTCCCCTCTGCCCTCACACTGCAGCACCCGCGGCCTGCCATGGGGCCAGGGGAGGCGGTTTCACTGATCCCATGTCCCCTTTCTACTCTGGCCAGGAGCCCTTTCCAGGCAGGACCTGCTGCTCCCTTGGTAATGTTTAATTTTCTCTTATTTTATGTTTCTAATAAAGGCCAGGAGGGTGTGTGGTGTCCTGCCTGTGCCCAACTCGTGGCGGCAGGGACAGGCACCGGCGGCTCGACATCCAGTGCAGCATTGAGACCTGCATGCATATGTCCCTGGCCTCGTGGCACCTGCGCGTGGCCAGCACCTTCAAGCATGGCGTGGGGGAAGATGAGGGCTTGAGTGAAGGGGAGTCGCAGTTTCTAGAGGGAGGGCAGCTCTGGGTGCAGGATGGAGTAGAGTTTGCCTGGTCTTTGCAGGTGCTTTGGAGGTAATAGGGGATGGTCACGCTTGCAGCCACGCGGCAGCTTCCCAGAACCAACCAGGCAGGAACTGCCCCTGGCCCAGGTGTGTGTGCAGCCTCCCTGCAAGGGAGCCAGGGCAAAGCAAGGGGCTCCCCAAGTGCCTCCACCCTCCTTGCTTGGCCCTCCCCATGAGACCCACTGCTGCCCCTCATCTCTGGGGCCTGGGTGAGAAACGGTGCTGGGGCAGGCGGCCCCGGGCAGGGCCATGGTGACACCAGCCTCTGCACGGGCATGGACCCTGCAGACAGGACCACCTTGCTGTCCCATGTGCCCACCCAGTGCATAGGGAGGACCAAATCAGATCTCCTCACTCTGCTCCCTGCCCTTCTCCAGCGCCTGCGGGCTGCCGTGGCCCAGTGGAGCAGGGGCTGGCGCGTGGGCGCACAGCCGGCCCATGCCTCTGCAGTGTTCCCCCTGGGCTCCCCCGCAGCGCAGGGCTGCCAGTGCTCTGTGCTGGAGGGAGCTCACACGCAGCCCAGCTAGAAACACCAGTTTATTGCAACACTTGGTTGAGATTAGCACTCCACGCTGCAACGGTGACTCCTGACGTGTGGCGTGCCGGCACCTGACTACCCCATGGTGCCTCCGCTCGACCCCACGCAGTGCGTCAGCGTGGGGCTCCCCGTGGAGGTGGTGTGAGGCCAGCACGCCAGCCGGGCTGCTCTTGCGGCACGGCCGCCTGTGCCCGGCTTGTGGCATCGCTGCTTTTGCACCGTCCAGGCTCCTGCGGGCTGCTCCCTGCACACTGATAGTGCTGGGCCATGCAGGTAACAATAGTCAAATTTGGGGTCCTTCACCAGCTTGGGTAATCAGTTGGGATCTCTAAACAGTCACAAGGCTCTTGGGGGAACGTCGGGGAGAGCAAATTAGACCCCCCGAGCCAAGAACACGTGTGCGAGTGAGAGGGCTGAGCCCAAGAGATTCCGCTGCAGTCTCTCCTCTTGCTGGCCACCCTCTGCACCAGCCTGGAGGTTTTGCAGAGCCAGGGCATGTGCTGGCTGGGTTCCCACCTTGCCGCCGGCAGCAGTGGGGTCCCTCTACACATATCCCGTCAGTTTGTAGGAGTTGAAATCACTCTTGGTCTTCTGTGTGTGGCTGATGGAGGGCTGGGGGCTCTTGCCTGCCAGCAGCCTGGGCTGGTGGGTGCTGTCATAAGTGTCTGGCGAGTCCCGGGGAGGGCAGGAAGCGCAGAGGATGAAGCCACCGATGAGGGAGAGCAGGGAAGAGATGATGCCCAGGTAGAGCGCCTCGCCCAGCTCATACTTGGTGCTGTCGGGGAGCAGAGGGTTGTAGAAATCCCGCAGCACCACGTGGATGTTCCAGACCACGGGGATGAAGCAGAGCAGGCCCCCGAGCACAAAGACCATGCCACCCATCACAGCCACCCTGTCCTTGGCTGGCGAGCCCTGCATGAAGATGGTGCACCTCATGCCCATGATGGCAATGAGGCAGGCGAGGGAGGAGACCGCGCTGGAGCTCACCATCAGTGCCTGCGCCGCCTGCACGTCCACGGGCAGGTTGAGGAGGGAGCTGTAGATGTCGCACTGGGTGATGCCGGTGCTGTACGTGGCGCACTCCATCCACAGCCCCTTGGTGAAGCCCACGGCTGTCACGATGCTGGAGCCGATGTAGGAGCTGATTTTCCAGCTGGGCAGCAGCGTGGTCGTCAGCGTGCCGACGTAGCCCATGAAGGCCACGGTGTAGCCCACCAGCTGCAGCCCTGTGGAGACCATGTCTGCGCACGTGTGTCACCTCGCTGTGCCTGCCGTGCTGCCGCCTCTCACCCGGCTTGCTGGCAGCTCTCCTACCTCCCCATGGCCTGCCTGGCGGCTCCTCTCCACCCCGCTCCCGGGCACGCTGGTTTTGTGCAGGCAGTGGTGTGTGGGTGGGAGCCGGGGGGAGGAGAGGTTACCTGGAAGAGTGAAAAGCAATCCCTCCCCGATTAACGATTGACCTGGGCCTCCGCAGAAGAGCCAACCGCCCTTTCACCTCTGCTATCTCCCCGGCTCTGCCTCTGAAGTTGAGTGGCGCTGCCCGCATGGCCACGGAGCCCTCTGTGCACTGGGTTGCCACCGGGCGCTGGATGGGCTCCAGCAGCCCTGTTAGGGCAACGCCACAGTCCCCACGGAGCAGAGGCACCCGCTGCCCTCCCCGTGCAGCCGGCTGTCCTGCGAGAGGGACCGCCAGCATCCGCCTGTGGAGGCTCGACATTTCGTGGACGTGCTCCTCTGCCGTTACAAGTTCATCCATCTGCTTTTGGGAATCCACCTAACCTCGTGTTTCCCGCTACTGCCGTTTGCAAGGAAGCTGGAATTGCTGCTGCGTGTTGTGTGTGAGGGAGGCGGGTTTGGGGGGGGGGGGGGGGGGGCCGCGGGTCCCCC